CACTCTCTTTTCTGGGGGAAAGGAGTTGAGGGAAAGGAGTTCAGCTCAACTCCATCAACTTCTAAGGCTTCCTCTGATAAGAAAAGAATAGAACACATACACCAAACTTCAAGAGGCACAGTGTGGCAAATGAATGTACTTATCCTTTATAAAAATTATATATTGTGGGATGCCTGGGTGCTCAGTTGGTTAGATGTCTGACTCTTGATTTCGGCGCAGGTCATGATCTCACGGTTTGTGAGTTTGAGCCCGGAGTTGGGCTCTGCGCTGACAGTGCGGAGCCTGCTTGGGATTCTCTCTCTCCCTCGTTCTCTGCCCCTCCCCAACTTGTTCTCTTCCTCTCTCTCTCAAAAATAAATAAACATTTAAGAAATCATATTATTGCTACATAAGGCTTCTTTGAAAAGCTTGTAATTTCTTATAAAGATTTTTTTTTAACGTTTATTTATTTTTGAGACAGAGAGAGACAGAGCATGAACGGGGGAGGGGCAGAGAGAGAAGGAGACACAGAATCGGAAGCAGGCTCCAGGCTCTGAGCCGTCAGCCCAGAGCCTGACGCGGGGCTCGAACTCACGGACCGTGAGATCGTGACCTGAGCTGAAGTCGGATGCTTAACCGACTGAGCCACCCAGGCGCCCCATCTTTAAAAAAAATTTTTAAAAAACATTTATTTATTTTTGAGAGACAGGGAGAGACAGAGGATGAGCAGGGGAGGGGCAGAGCGAGAGGGAGAGACAGAATCCGAAGCAGGCTCCAGGCTCCGAGCTGTCAGCACAGACCCCGACACGGGGCTCAAACTCACAAACTGCGAGATCATGACCTGAGCCGAAATCGGACGCCCAAACGACTGAGCCACCCAGGAGCCCCGAAAAGCTTGTAATTTTATTTATTTATTTATTTTGTTTTTGTTTTTGTTTTTTTTTTGAAAAGCTTGTAATTTTAAAGTGAATGCTTTCCTTAAAAACTTAGAGAATCCTATATCATGATAGTTTGCCTATTTCTGTAAGAGTATTATTTTGATAAAATATCGTACTGGCTTTTAAAGTCATAAAAAGCAGTGCTCATTTAGAAATCTCTCTCTGTCCCTACTACCTAATCCTCTCACCCACTACTTGCTGGGTAACCACTGTAAACAGTTTATTTTTTGTCCTTTCTGACCAAGTGCGTGCTGTATCTGTATGACTGCGTCTACTGATTGATTCATATAATGTTTTTGTTTATTCACCAGATACAAGTCTGTCTGCCTGCCTTAGCTGCAATGTGGTAATGCTTTTGATAGATCTTAGATGCTCAGTGCAGGACATAAAAAGAAAAATTCTTCTTAAACACATACAATTGCATTGGTATATTTGTGAGGCAAATTTAATCCAATTCTCTAAAGTGGATGATTGGGTATATTTCCAGCCTCAAGGTCTACCTTTGCCTAATATTCAGGCAACTGACGTAAGGGTGTGTGTTTCCCCACAGTCCTGAGGTTAATTGCCCCACTGTTAAATTGTACTTTCCTACAGTAGCTCTAATCCTAGCCTAATAGTACTAGCTACAGTAGTTTATATAAAAAGTTGTTGAATTTATTAGATGGAGAGATATCTGAGTGCTTGAAGCAGATCACAGGCTGAGGGAATATAGGATTCTATCATCGTTACCCAAGCCGAAGAGTCCATCAACCAAGAGAAGCATAATTGTAAGTCACTCTCTATCTCAGTTCCTAATTTTCCCTGATTTGCTGGGATGAGTGACCATTCTTGCTCATATCACTAGGGGATCCTTGGGGCCACTTCAGGCTGAGCCCATGTTCATGACACTCCCACATAGCAGACACTTTTGTGGATTTTTGTTTATGATTGCATCTTGCTAATATGAAGAATGGACAAGGCTTAAAGAGAAAAGCTTAGTATATTTCATTGAAAATTTGAACAATTAGAATGGGCTGATAAAAAATCAAAGACTCTACGTGTACTTTGCTGTGGGTAGAAAGTTATAGCTAATAACTGCAGTTGACAAAACAGAAGAACTTTTCTCAGGAAAAATAGAATCTGTTGTGAGTATCCAAGAATAATGAGCAAAGGAAGAGAAGCAAGGGGGGAAATCTAGGTCATGTCCCATTGAACACGATGTAAATCTGACCTGTATACATGAGGGAAATGGTTAAAATTAGGGCCAAATAATTTCCTGATTTCTATGAATGAGCACATCTTTTGAAAATCAGGAGAAAGTAGATTTTCTTTTCTAGAGGAAATTATATTCGATTCAGTGTAAGAAGGAAACCAGTAGAAGAAAATCTATATGATAGTACAGAGATCATGTGAGAGAAAAGGAAAAGTGTGTGTGTGTGGCGGGGAGGGAGGGATCGGGAGAGAGAGAGAGTGAGAGAGACAGAGAGAGAGACAGAGAAGAGCACAGGAGTAATGGCAGGAGTAGAATGGCACAGAACCTTATTATATCATAAAATAATAACTTTAAAAGAACAAATCTATGGCACAGAGAAACTGAAAAGTGATACTAGAATTCTTAGGGTTGCCATCTTAAAATATCTGATGGGCTTACTTAGAATCTATAACCATGATTTAGTCCTTGTTAATTTTTCCATGACTGTGAAGATGATCTATCATAACATTTAGTTTGATGAACTCACCAGCTGCCCTGTGCAAAAATCTGGTGTTTCACACTTTATCACTCCCGGAGGCAGGCCACATCTTCCTGCCCCTAACCCCTCCAGCTGCAGCCACCCCTGGAGCCTTCCCACCCTGAGAGCGCAGGTCGACAGATGGAGCCCAGTACTTATGATGAGACACATGGGGCCGAAGAAGGAGCTGTGCAATCACCTCTATTGCATTTTTATTTACTTCCCTCTGTTTTTGAGCATTCTCCCCCATAAGGCCTCCAGCCAAAGACCTGATCAATTTATATTCTAAAAGGAACAACTGCAGGACATCTCCAGATTCTACTCATCTCCTCACGTGGGCGTGTCACATTTACCAAATACTGCAAACACTACAAATAGTTTTCTAGTATAAGTATGCCCCGTGCAACAGTTGAGAGAGACTTACACTACAAAAATTATTGACTATCTGAAATTCAAGTTTAACTGGCACCCTGGATTTCATCTGGCGTCCCTACTGTTTGAACTCCAGGAACCTCCCGAGTATCTGGGAAAGGTCTCAGAAAAGTCAACAGCACGGCACAAGAACCGACTGACGTGAGGTGGCAGTAAGTTGTCCCTCAAATGACAAAAGCACACAATCTCTGAGAGGCGAGCAGAAAAAAAAAAGCCATTCTGGAGTCTCTTGCCACTTTGTCCACAACACCGCTCCTTGAGGGGGAAGGGGTCAGCCAGTGGCCCTTTTCCTTCCCCTAGTACTTCTGGGCAAGGATGTGCAGATCGTGTATTTGACGAGTGATTTCAGCACAGAACAGCTGGCAGGCGGCGAGACTGTCATAGCAAGCAGTGGACCGGACACTGGGAAAGGGCTGGGTGGGGGTGATGAAGATGGGGAAACAGTAAAAGACACAGCAATACGCTATAGGCACAGGGCAGATCTTCAAATTACACTTACTGCATGAACATAAACGCGCACAGAAATATGCCCATGGATGATTGACACTTTTTTTTTTTCATTTTATGAGTCAACCTTATTTGTTAACCTTATCTGTGGCTGTTCTTGTAGAATTTCCTGGTGAACAAGAATGCACATCCACTCTCTGGTTGGAGACAGCCAGCCGAGGCCAGAGTTGCTGGGCTCTCTGCAGAGCCGTGAAGCCAGGGCACTGTCTAGAAGCATCTCTTTCTCTGATCTGATCCTAACTATTGTTTAACCTCTAACGGTTTCTTACAAATTGCTACCTCAACTCCACATCTCTAGTTAGTAGGATTTTTAACTCAGGTTTGAGGACCTGTTAATTCTCAAGCCTGCAAAGGTTCTAGGCTGAATGGTAATTACGGGCATTTGATGCACTTAGAACTAAAATTGAATAGTAACATATTCTGGCACAGGCTTTTCCTTCTAATTTATTCATTATTATTTACCATGACTCTAGGTTTGATGGTCTTCTTATAGAACTACTCTGTATTGGAGTTACACTGAATTCAATCATACAGTTGAGCCTAGTTAAAATGGAGGGGATTTTCTTCTTGGACCCAAATGTAATATATATATATATATAATATACATATAACAAATATACATATATATAAACCCAATGCACATTGTCATATATAACTCATGGCTATATTCCTATTCAGGTTTTAGTGTCATGGAAACCAGTTAAGCTTGTCTCTGCCTCTCTACCTAAAATCTGATAAAAATACAGTTTAACTGCATATACCTAACTTCACTTTAGAGGGAAAAGAAGATGCTGTATACATATGCTGGTAGGTTTTAAAATAATGACATCTGCCTTTGTTATAATGAAAGAAAACTCATAAGATGTTCAATTAGTATGACTGAATCATCCATTTCTTCCCTTTTTTCTTACAGTGATATTTCAGGTCTTTTGGGATAGTCATTTTGTGGAGATCTTGGAATTAAAAAAAAAAAAGGCATTCTAACTGTGATGCTCAACAGTCAGGGTATCTGATTTGCTTAAGGGTCACCCTGTAAAAGTCAGAGCCTGACTGGGGCCATTAGGAGCTGGTGGGATGAGTTTGCTGGTTGCTAGGATGCTGTGTGGGGATCTTAGAAAGACCCCCTCCCCACTTGGGCGCTGTCCCTTCTGGACCTGTAGTTGAAGTTTCTCTGTTGATGCCAGAGATGGAGACAGAGAGAAGGGCTGTGGATGCGGTCAAAGCCTGGGGACAGAGGCAGGCAGGGAGGCACAACCGTTCTTTGTAGGGCATGGGTGGTATTTTGTTACTGGTGATTGTGTGACAACAGCAGGACACCACGTGCAGTCTTTTGGGACAGTCGTTCCTGTAGCCCTGCACCCGGAGACCAGGCTTGTGCTGGCGCGGTGTCACGGAGGGGGGGCCAGGGGGGGTGGCAGGCGCTCTGCTCACTCACCGGTGCTGCTCTGAATGGTCCTCACGGTGGTGGTGGTGCGCGGTGGGGAGGAGGACCGCAGGGACACGCACTCGTCGTCCTGGGAGCAGCCCTTCTCAATGGCCCGCACGTAGCTGTGGCTCCGCATGCGGAAGCACCCGGGCATGGGCAGGTCCAGGGCTTCCACCGCCTGCGACTCCAGCTCGCTGAACACGGATTCACACACGGACTCGAACTGCCCGTTCACTTCCATCTCGCTCACCTACGGGCAGAGACGGGGAACCATAACTCCTCCTGCCTGGCGGAGAAGCACCCTCTCCCTCAAGCATCCCCGGACTTGACCCCGCACCCTTCCGGAGAAAGCCCCATCCGACCGCATTCAACGCCAATGCATTTTATCGCCTCTGTGTTACACTCCGTAACTGAACTGCATCTTGTTTATGAGCCCAAACAGTCCATTAAATTCTAAAGAAAAAGAGCTTTCTTTTCAGCATGGAAGAAGTGTGGGGCTAGGAGGTCTTATTCCAGTGCGTGCCCAGGTGTTAATTCTCCTGATTTATAAATGCAAACCTAGGGAACAATTTTTGTCAGTCCACGGTGAGAGTTTGGGTATTTCAGGGGAATAGTTTTTAGTATAAACATCTTAGAAACTACTATTTTTATTATTGTGCTTTTGCAAGTGACTGGCTTGTCAAATAATTTCAGTGTCAAATGCAGCTTAATTTAGTGCACAGTATGAAAACAGGCCCTATATTTTCTGGCAAGATACTCTCATTCTGCACAAAAATAGACCAAACCCAGATATGTCAAAATCTTGAAAAGCACTATGGAGATTTGCAATCTACACACTATCGGAAGAAGGTCTCATTCTTCCTTATAAAAAGCTGATATGGTCCACAAATTGTTTATAAATGTGTTTTAAAATCTTCCAAATGAAGTCTTCCTTTTTTTGCGGAGGTCAGTTTTTATTTACTTATATTCCTCTGCACATAACTTACATTGGGTTTGAGCACCACCTAAAAAAGAAAAAAAAAAAAAAACAAAAAACCAGACCAGGTGCCCCAGTTAATTTCTCTTACTTTGTAGCTGATTTGATAGGGACATGGGAGCGTTCTTCAAATTTCTGCCACTCTCTAGAACTTCATAATTTCCCTAATATTAAATTAATGAGTAATTAGGAATTTATTAAGCAATTAAACTACAAGTAAGCTTAGAACAAATACTGAAAATGATTGTAATTTCTGACTTCCTTCATTTTCTGTTATCTGAGAATATACTCTGATAATGGCAAATTTCTTTTAAACTTCATGTAGAAGTGACCAGCTACCTTAAGGCATATCAAGTGGAAAAAGACATGCATTTCTTTACGATTCTTTACAGCTTAAAATAGTACTTTCACCTACTTTATCTAATTTGATATAAAATCCCTGCTTGTTTTCAAGGCTAATAATTACATACATCCATGTTAAAAAATTAAATGCATATATATATCTTTGATTTTTGGGAAATATTGGCGATGCATTCACAGGTAAGGGGACATGATATTTGCAATTAATTATCAAATAGAGAAAGTGAGCACATGAGTCAAAAGGAATATGAATATGAATCTGGGTCAAGGATATATAGGAGTCCCTTGTATTTTACAAGCAACTTTTTTGTAAACTTGGAATGATTTCAAAGTAAAAGGTAAAACTGTATTTGCAAATGTGTGTGTGCGCACGCACATACAGATTTTCCCCTATTAATCAATATGCCAAACATCGCAAAGAAATGGTAAAATATCTATCCCTGTTAAGGTAACAACTGTTAAAACTTGGGTGACTGTCTGTTCAGAGGGTACATATTGCCCCCCTCCCCTAGTTTTCATAAAAATTGGACCATAACGTAAATATAATTTGGCAATATGTTTTCTTTCCACTTAACCTTCTGTATTAAACTCACATCTTAATAGGATTCTCTTTCTTCATTCTTTTTGAACCTTTTGTTTCTATTATACACAGATACAGAAAACCAAGCAAAATAAATGTAGAACCGAGTGAATTATAATAAGACAAACACCCTTATAACCATTACCTAGATCAAGAAAGATGGCTTTTCCAGGTACCCTAGCAACCACTCTATGTGCCCCATCCTGACTATAATCCCCATCTTCCCTCCAAAATCAACTGCCAATCTGAGTTTTATTTTTGTAAAGAATTCTTTTTAAAAAAAGTTTATTTCTTTATTTTGAGAGAGAGAGGGCACACATGAGTGGGGGAGGGGCAGGGAGCCAGGGAGAGAGAGAATCTCAAGCAGTCTCTGTGCTGTCAACACCGGTGCCCCCCCCACCCAGTTTTTAATTGACAATTTATTTATGGAAGCATCTGGGTTGTTTGTCCTGTAAAGGTTCCCGTGGTCTGGATTTGCTGATTTCATACTCGTGGTAGGATTTAGCATGGTCCTCTATCTTTTGTAGTTCCTGAAAATTGTAAGCTGGATCCAGGGGCTTCATAAGACTCAGGTTCAGTCCCTTTGGCAAGAGGAGAGATCATGTGTTCTTTTATCAGGAGACACATTATGTCTGGGTTGTCTCTCTCTGTACGTTGTTAGAAGTCACTTGTGCTCAATGTCTAGATCTGTTAATTCACTGGGAGTTATGCAATGGTGGTGTTCTAGTTCCATCATTATTTTTTACAGTTTCTAGTTGTAGCTTAACTGACTGAGCCATCCAGGAGCCCCAACATTTGATGGTTTTAAATTGACTGTTATGATTATTCTTAGTGAATGGAAATTTGTCTTATCTTTAACCAGTGGGAGCCCCTTAGGTTGGCTCCTGAATCCTGTTGACCTGCTCAGTCCTGGAATCAGTATTTTTTCAAACAACCTTTTCTTCTTTTAGTGGAAAATAGTATCACAAGAATGCAATCTGGACACCAGGAAGCTTCATTGTCATGGCTACTGGGCTGGTCATTGTTCAGTGGGCAAAACTAGGCCTTTTGATGGTCAGACCTAGTGAATAGGTCTGATTAAAATTCAGACTGCAGAGTTGTTTTTTTTTT